AAATATGATACCTCAGTACATGACCTTGAATGTCAGCAATTAGGACGATTTATCTTAAGATTATGTTGAAGGAAACGAGAAACACGTGTACTACAAACAATGAGAGTATGATCACTGGCACACTACCAAGAATTTGAATCGTGTCGTAATAGCTGATTTTGATTTTTTTTAATGTCTTTATGCGTCAAACCGAGTATTTTAACTGCTTTCACAATAATCTATTACCTTTTCATTATTCATACAAAAAAAAAAAATGTAAAATAATTATCATATATTCGACTGAAATTATACGAGTTATTCCCCTTCGCCTCTACACCACGTTATATTTAATCATGAAATAATATAGTTTATTATTTTAAAATATTGTTTAAGTACTACATTGAAAATATTTCTAAAAGACAAAGGATCAGCAAAAAAATCAGTTGATCACCTAGAACGTGTACTTTAAATAATTTAATTACGCCAACTAACGAAAAGACGCCTACTTGTGTACCCATATTTGTGGGGTATTTATGGGAAAACCAGTTACTGTAACAGTTTTTTTTTGTGAATCTATTTAAAGTAAGGAATTGCTGCTGTGAATCAAGAAAAGATGGAACATTGAATCAAACATAATTATCATGTCAAAATACAAGATTTTGATTGGTTAATACGAGCGAGATAATTTACTCTGTCTCATGGCACATACTCTTTTACCTTTCACAGAGACGTTTGATCAAGTGTTCGCTTTATCAAATTCGGATGGTTGTTATGTACAAGACGTCATAGTTTATTACTTTGAGTTTGAAATTTAATAGACAGTAATAACAGAACATTCAGTATAATAAATTGAATAACACATAGCTGAGAGGGTGATAGAGCAGATTGTAACTCCTCGAAAAGACATTGTCAACCTTGGCTTCGCCTCGGTTGACAATTTTTTCTCGGAGTAAAATCTGCTCTAGCAACCACTTAACTATAAAAACAAAATCAATGGAAAAGATTCGGGTGTGCTGGATAGACCTCCCTGATCTGATCTTCCAATCGTAATCAAATTACTCTTTGTGTCTATATGTTAGCTTACTCTTTGCCTACTTTTAGGAAAATAGCAGGATCATAAAGGTCAACCAAATGTCAAGTGCCCTTTTTCGACAATTGTTTATCAAAAAGTAACACTTTAAGCCATTCTTACATTTCGAAGATGAAATATTTCTGGGAAATGATTTTTATATTATCTGTATCTATACCTATGCCATACGCAAAATTGCGCACAATATGTAGATCATGCATAATTTCAAAATTAAAATTAACATAATAAATTAATAAAAATCGAATTCCTGATAATATGCAAACCTTCAGTATATGGACTAGCATCCTGCATAATATAAAAGTTCTAACTTGAAAATAAAAGGAGTTAGGTAGTTAGTCCGTTTATAAGACGGACTAAAGAACAAACAGTCGGACGGAAAAGTGTAAAACAATAATCCGTGCCATTTTGCTGACATTTAAAGCTTTATTTCCAAATATTTGTAATTGTATTAAACCTTTATTAAGATCTGTTTCCTTTATTTAGTCTTATTCAATATTTGATTCGTTTACCTAGTGTCAATTTAGATTTGTTTTGTTTACTATAAATAGTACTTGGTTTCAATTAAGATTTGTTACGTCTACTACATCTCAATTAAAGTTAGCTGCTTTTTACCTATACTCATTTAAACTTATGAAACCTAGTGTTTTTTATACAACTCTGCACAGTGTAATAGAGAGACTACATTTAATGTTATTGAAGAAACTTTTAAGAGCACCATCAAAGAAAAGAAGACTGTACCACTGTCAAACTATAACCGTCTAAAGAATAAACAATTCTATGATCCCAAAATTCCAATCAGAATTGAAAAAAAGACATTCGAAAGCGGGATACACTCTTACATCATTTATATGGTCCTTGACAATTGGATATCATTTAAACTCCATATAGATGTTTAATGTTATTCTTGAACTATGAATTATTCAGGGCTTAAATTAAATCTGATCCAGCTTGTCGGTATTGGTCGAATATCAAGGATATACGCCATTACATTTTTCACTGTCCCTTTTTATATTAATGAAGGGCTATCATGTTAAATAGTCTCAGTACGCGTCCCGAAGGATGCAATTTGGACATAGACCTCTTGATTTAGGTAAAAGACACCCTTTCCTATGACCAAAATGTTCAAGTTGTCAAGCAAGTTTATAACTATCATCTTCGCTAGGCATGGGTTACGATTCAGTCCCCTCCTCTCCACCCCTGGCGGATTGAAATAGAATTTTGGATCCACGAGCAACTTATTTCCATTGGTCGCAGTTGTAAATGGCTGCATCCAATCAAAGAGCGCCTTTAAGATAATCACGTGTAAATGTAGAAAATGTAAATAGACAATTGCCACGTGCTGATTGTGCAACTAATCTTTACCACCAAAACATAGGAGGGTATTTAGTAACAATTTAAAAGTTCTTAACCAACTAATTAAAGTTCCTGGGTATATTTCTCGCGCATTTGTTACAATGTCAACGTATATTTTCGGTTCCTGCTTCACAAAATTTGTAAACACTAGACACAACCATTTTACACCTCCACATTGAAGAGAGTTCAAGTGCTGTCATTGGTCAAAAATAATGCAGTCGGATTGGGCGTGGCTTTTATCTACCGATAGATGGCGCAGTATTGTACTCACAAATCTGGTTTAATCTGCCAAGGTGTAGAGGGGACTGGATCGTAATTCTTGGCTAGCAAGGATGAGATAAAAACGATTTCTGGTGAACTAATCTAAACATAGATAAATGGATAGCGTCATCATCATAGCTGTCGTTCTTTCTTATTACTTTTCCTATATTCAGTTTAGTGTCGTTATATTAATGTTGTTTATATTATGTAAGGCATGCACACTTTAATTTTTCATTTAGAGTGTACAGTGGAGAATCCATTTTTGCTTTTAACAAATAAAATATGTTTGAACTAGCTCCTAGCGTTATGTTTAATATGATTAATTTCTGTAAGCTAATTGCTTAATACCTTACAAGATTTAAAAGCTCTAATTATAATGTTTCTGTTCAAATATATTTGATCTTATTTTACCCATACAGTGACCGTTTTAGTGGCTAGTGACCGTTTGAGTGGCTGAAATAAGTAAACATATTTAACTTATGAATAATCATTCTATAAAAGTATAAACGGTAGAGATTTGGATGGGTATCAATAACCTGAGACTACCTGACGGAATTTGTGAAATTATTCAGTTTTTTTTATATTTTTTATCTCGCCTCGATGAAGTCACGGAGACGAGATGTAGGCGTGCTGTTGTTGGTGGCATTGTCAGCGGTTACGTCTCAATTATAAATAGATATAAGAAGATATATATAAAGTTCACTTTGAGGGGAACCACTAATGGTAAGTCAATGGTTGTTATAGCAGGCAGTTGGATTACCATTGTCAATTCTTATATCCATTGATATTATTTGGTTCCGCCCAATCAATCATGGTCCATTGAAAGTTTCGCAAAGTTTACATGTTTGAATTTGTTATTAGGACAGTTTAAGAGGAAACACGAATGGTATTTCAATAATGTTTGGTATAAAATTGTACCAGCATTAATGTCACATATTATTCTATGGAGATTTGTTGGTGCTGCCGCCTCACTCATGGTCCATTAACTTTGAAACTTTCGCATAGTTTTCATGTTAATGTGTGACCGTTAAAAAGTTAACATTAGCATTACACTAGAAAAATTACACGTGTGCAACATGTTGTTGTGTCGACAGTTTATACTTAATAGAATAATCATTAAACAGATATTTCAAATATGGGTCAAACGACTCGTGGAGTCGTCCATAATATTTTCGATGGAATTATTTCAACCTCACTACTTGGAACTCTTGGTTTTGAAACTTTTTGTAAGCAGCAACCCTCTATCAAGAAAATGCTGGAATGTTGCATCATAAAAATGGAATTTTCACAATTGTGAAGCTGAAATCATCTTTTTGTCATTAAGTTTAGTTTTCAGTATCAATTTCTAGATGAAAGCCAAGATATGAGACAGCCATCTATGTCATTTTGTCTCTGTTTGAGTGTTGTCTCAATGGCAAATATATCACATCTTCTTATTTTTATATTAACTGTATCAGTTGTAATGGAATAGATGCGTTCAATATAGTCACCAAATTATTTAGTGAGACGACATCATCTTTAGCGGAACGTGAAGTTAAGGGATAATGCCAGCTTCTTTTAATTCTTCTGAAGAAGCTCCTGTATGAATTCAGTATAATATGCATAAAGACAAGATACTTGTATCTACGTTGGCCATTCTTTCTTATGAAACAGAGAAGTGCCAATTCTTTTAATTTGTCTTTTATTGTTTTAACCTAACATAATATAACGTATATTGTTTACCTCTTATGTTGTCACAATGAATCTTTAATGAAGTTAAATAGCGAAAGCAGTAAAGACAGTATATATATATACTAGTTTTAAATCTTAAGAATCAATTTTGACACACATTGTCATCATTCAATTACATGTACTTTAAAATTGAAAGGCTCAATAGCTCGCTCCAATTGTTTCACATGGCATGTGAAGGAATGTAACCTTTGATTTTAATACAGTATTGGTATTGTATTATATATAGTGAACCCATTAGTTAAATGAGGTCAGGTTTACTAAATACAACTGTACTAATCAAATCCGTTATAAAACAATTATTCACTTATTTACATTTCATTCATAACTTATTACGGACGAATCTTGCAGCAACACATTTTATGTTAGTGATTTAGATATGTATTTTGCTTAATATGTATATTATGTACGCTATTTCCACATTTCAGGTAGTATACATTTTTCAACGTTTTTCTCACTTGTTAATTTATTGGCAATTGATATATTATATAAAAATATATAAAAGAAATATTTACAATGACTTCCAAGTAACCACACATTATGTATTCAATCAATAAATGAATCCAATGACATACCAAGTTGTACTTACGAAGAGCATTACATAAGATAAACAGCAGGGTTTTATCAGGTCTCCGGTTGTCATTTTACGCAATCATTTAACTATATTAATTATGTTCTCCCTATGACAGTGTCTTCTTTGTAGTGTCCTGTCTTTTCCAAGAATCATGTTCTCCAAATGGCAGTGTCTAGGTAGTGTCTTGTCTTCTTTTCAAGAATCATAATGAATTAAACAATCACTGAATACTTTTATACCTTTATACATCAAACTTTAAACTTTGTGACATCTGTCTAGTAATAATTGCCAGTTTAAATGTATTTGCATTGAAGCATGCTTAATCAAATCAATCATGGTCAGTTAATCAAGACAATTATTTACTGTACTTCATTTTTACCACTTTTGAATCGTGTTACATGACAAACAAAAGTCAATATGATTAAAATAATACTTATACCTCCAACTTCACTGTTAAGATACGCATTTCTAAATAAATACTTTTGAATAACAAGAAGAAACGACATGCACATGTTAAACCTATACGTACTGTATTTATGTTTAACAGTCAGTTAGTCTCTGTATACAATCAATTACCATCGTCACCTTCTTGATTAACTAGCTTTGTATGTCAATGTAAAAAATTTAAATATATATCAGCAATTATTTTGTCTTTGTTAATTTTTTTAAATGCATACCATGAGATATCATGCTAATATTGCAAAGGCACGAACATTCGTTTGATTTTGATAACAGTTTGCTACACCTTAATAAAGGTCGCCTCAGTTAATTGATAGCGAACGGTTGCCATTCCTTCATGAGCACCTGAGTCTTGGATCCTAATATGTATATACTAAGATACAACCATTAATATTTTTATTTTCTATTTTTTTTATGAAGATTCTGCTTAAACTTAGTTAACCGTATCGTCATTTATACGTTTTAATCTCTTTGATTCGTAGCTTTTTTTCAGATTGAACAAAAACAGTTTCGAATGTAATTTTCCCAAATTTGCGGTTCCAATTTCCTTCTTCATTTTGTAATTGTTACCTAAGCTTGATTTTTCTCATCTTCATCGATTTTCGAGATTTGAACATCAGTAAACTAATGTAGCCTTAGTTTAAATCATGCACATTTTCTGATAACAACAATTTACTAATTATTCATAGATCATTGTCTGGTTTTGAATTAAGGAAATTCTAAAGGGATATTATCCAGTTAGAACATAGAATTCAAGATAAAACATAAAACAAATATTTTTTGAGGAAATCGTTAGAACATCATGCAAAGCGGGACCATGAATTTTGATCGGCTTTAGCATTGAACAAAAACCTATACCGCATAGCACGGTATGTAAAGCCCCGACATACCAAAATGCATGCATCTGCCGCCTTCTAATTGATAATATACTACATATAGTAAATGGTTGGGTAAATGACTTCACATTTATATACCAATCTCGGAATATGAAACTGAGGAATGAAAATAAAGCTAAGAAAATGATTAATAAACCAGGGAAATAATTTTGCACACCAGGAAAAGGGACATACAAAGTCCTGGAAACATAGATAGCAAACATGTTCGATATTTACATCCTGCTCATTTGTAAATATACAATCGTCGTATTTAGAAGAAAAATTATAGGTAAGAATTTAACATTTTCAGTTTATTCCTATATGAAGTTTCATATTTGTTATAATTTGTTAATTGTCAATGTTGATTACGGAAATACATTTGCCAAACAATAGCCCTAATTTACGATATTTATTATAATTCTAGTGATGACTGATATTTCTAAACAGATCTATCAATACATGTGTGATGAAATTGTCGGATCAGAGAAAGTTGTGAAATACAGAAGACTTTTCTTTAAGGTATACGAGTATGTTCAAAATAATTTCTTAGCACCCTCAAAATATATTATACCAAGCGGAAGTAAAGCTGAAGGACTAAACCTCCCTGGTAGTGACATTGATATAATGTTGATTTCGAAAAAGTACATTGTCTATGAATCAAAATTAGAAACAGAGACTACAAGAAGCACAATCAATACACACATTTTAGTTATTGATACTGATAATGCTCAGCCTGGATTTGCTCTTCTTCGTGTACAGAATGAACTATTTTGCGAGCAACATTTTGTTGAAAGAAATGAAGATGGTATATATCTCTCCAGTAAACTGTATCTATTAAACTTCGCGACGAAGTATACTTACCACAAAATAAATGGACCATGTATATCGAATAGAGATGGGAAATTGGATGCGGCTCATTCGCTAAAATGTCCTCAATGGCCTTCCGTAGCAAAGGACTGGGCAACTAGAAAGCGGTCGTCAGGATGGCCTTCAGTCTTTCTTGTGTCTGATATAGTACAATTAGGGGTGCTTTTTGTTCCAATAGGTAGTAAATCACATTCGGAAGATGTTCATCCACTGGAATGGAGAATCTCTTTCTCTGTTCCGGAAAAAATACTCATTTATACATGGAATCATACTCAACTGTTATGTTATGCCATTCTTAAAATATTACTTGTAGAAGTAATTAGGAAATCTAAAGGTATCGATTGTTTAATGTGTTCATATTTTCTTAAAACTGTATTATTTTGGTTGTTAGAAGAGGTCGATACTAGAAAGTGGACACCAGAGAGCCTATTGGACTGTGTTGTTATGTGTCTTGGCCGTTTGACCTATTTAATAACACATAAATATATCCCAAATTATTTTATACCAGAACACAATATGATTGACAGACAATTCAGTCAACTGTCATGGGATGAGTTGCTGGCATTGATCAGTTATCTACATGACGTCGGTTGGCAAAGTATATTTCTATGTGATTCATTTCAACTAAGTACAAATCTTTTCAGATGCAAGGATAACCGAATTAGAGCCGTAACTGGAAATTCTGATTATGTTAAAGCGATAATTCCATTAATGAATATTCTATTCCAAAATTACCGTTTTCTGGATGTTACTTATTGCACGAAAACTGGAGCTTTTACAAAATGTTTTGATTACATTATGAAAACAATATTACCATATAAATATAAAGTTTTACATTTTATCATGTTATCTAGCCTTTCATATAACATGGCAGAAGACTTGCTTTGTAAACAACAATGTAATAAACAATCTTATATAGAACACAAACAATTGATATCATGCAATCTTATTTGTGCACAGACTTGTGTTGTTAGTGGATGGACTTTACAAGCTCTAAATTTCTATTTATGTGGACAGTATCATATTGCATTGAGAATAATTGAATTTGCTATGTCTCTATCCTCTAGTGAACAGTTAATCATTTCACCATTCTATGACATATATATAAATGATTTAAAGGAACGATAATTTCTTTCAAATAAATATGTTTCGTGTCTGCGAAAATTAAAATATTATACGAGATTGGACATATTTCTCCATGATATTTACACTTTCGATTATTTGCTACAAATGGATCCTTATCAAAACGATATATTTCTGGATACAACATTTTTCCTGTATTATCTCCGATTCGCATGTTGTCATCGTTTACATGATATTGATGCTGTACAACAAAGTCTTCTGGATCTCGAACCATTTAGAGATGACGAGCTTGCAGAAACGTATATAAAGAATGCATATGACATTACATTTGACAGATATCGGGAGCACATTCTTTGTTGGAGGTATAATAATGAAAAAAGACAACTGTCCACACATGTAAACCATTTGTAAGAGGATGAAGTATCAAGTTCTGAAATATGCATTTGTTTCCCTATAATGATTAAGGTAGATGGGGTGTCTAAATTATAATCCATAGAATTTTTTAATAATTTGCCAAAATGTAGTTTATTTCATGCTATTTTTTTTAAAATAATAAAAAGAATGGGTCACGGGGCTTATTTTCACGCTACAGGTTGTGCAAAATTTACAGGTTTTTGTATAGATTATGCATGCAAAACCCAATTTTCTGCCATAAAACAAAAACTACACCATAGAATTTTGAGATAAAATATGAGAAGATAGCTCTAATATTATGCTTTCAGATAGGAAAAAGAAAAAATGGGGTCACGGGACCCGTTTTCTTGCTATATAATAAAATAGGTAAATTCCTAACACATTCTATTGTAAAAGTAACTTTATCTGAATTATCTGCCCTTACATTTGAGTTGCCTCCCCTTATGTGACAAAATTGGAAAAAATTAAATCAAACAAAAGTATTCTGTTTTTTGTAAAATACAACCATAAATATGATAAAACATGTCATTTTCTATATTGAAATGAAAATTCTTACACATGAATTACCGACTACTCTCAAAATTTGCACATTTTATTAAAGATCTAGACCGATTGTTTTCTGGTATTTCAAAATCCAAGATGGAGGAAGACACCCTATCTACCTTAAACGATTAGGTTTATTCCAATTTACAAATCAGGACGACCATTAACATTGTTGTATACAAAATTAAAGTACTTACAGACAAAGCTACGTTTCTGTTCGATTTACAAAGACGATAACAAAGACTTATTTCCAAAAATATATGTAATAATTTTTCTCTTCTTATGTCGAACTATCCCACTAGTCGTGATTTTACTTTTGTGTATAAGTGGAAAGCTTATGTTAATTTCTTTCTATCTCTTTTTAAAAGGTACGTGTAACAAGTATCTGCTTCTATCAATATCAATCATAGACCGACTATTTTATAGTTTTTTCTTGTTTTTTTACATCATAGTTTTGGAAACGCAATGTGCTTTGGATAGACAATTTGTTTTTATATATTTTTTATTGAAGAACATTAATATGGTTTCATCCTGAAATTCCTATATGAAGCTGTTATTACAGATTTCATTAAAACCTGAAAATCTGTCTGTCAAGAATGATATTGAAAAGAAGCATTTTTAGGTCGTTGAAAATACAAAACTTGCATAATTCTTCAATTTTTTTTAATATATTAATTTCATTTTTAACAATCAATAGTATAAAATTGCAAAATGTCATTGGTGATATGTCTGCAACGCCAAAAATTCTGCAGAGTCACATTCCTGACCTTAAAATGTCATTTCGATCCTTTAAATAATATAGATACGATCTGGGTAAACTTATCGATCCATTGACTAAACTTTTTCTAAAAGGTTACCAATTCAACACTGTAATTAGATCTTTGAATAATGTTTTCATTGGTACTAATATTGAATTTGTTATCAGTAAATTTAAATCAAACTACATATAATTTTTAAATACATATGTACATTCATGGCTCTACAATCTGTCGATACCTGTATCTTAGC